GAGTGCGGCCGGCCCGGCGAAGTGGGCCGTGATAAAGAAGGAGGAGCACCCAGCGACAGCCGGGTGATCTGACTGGTTTTACATGAATTTCGAACTGAAAAAGGGTCAGAAAAGAATGTGCGTGTTGTTCTCGCGCTGCGACGAGACCCTTGTAAGCAGTAACACGCTCATGGCATTGGCTCCTGGATTCAGGGCACGCCATCGTTGTGATGATTACAACGGTAGGGAGTCGTATTTGACGGCGAGGGAGAGGGGGGGTCGTATTTGGTCTGGTCTGAGAAAATTTTTTTTCTGATAGTTGATTTCTCATTTTTCATGGACAGTCGTTGTTGGGACAGGGACTGCCAAAGATCCATACAAGTACTATTTCCGATGGTTGAAAATGATAGTTAAATCCTGAATCCCACCCCCCTCTCGAAAGCGAAATTTTGGGAAAAGGCCAGAAATTTTCCGGAAGTTTCGCTAAACTTCGGAAAAACTGATAGGAGGTGAAGGAAAATCTGAGAAGTTTTCCTGTTCCACAGCGGGTATATGTATACCCACCCCCTCCCGCTCGACGGAAAATTCTTGGCTGAAAAACTGGAAATTTTTCGGGAAAAAATGGAAAAAGTGGTAGGAAGTTGGGAAAATCTAGGAAAGTGGTAGGTAGCATGGTAGGGGGGGGGGTCGTCTTTGAGGATGGAATTAGGGGCGGGACGTACTTTTCCAGGGAATGATCACAGCGCGATGGCGTGCCCTGCCTGGATTTCATTGGTCTCGCCATGCAATTCAGCACTGTTTCAAGTCAGCCAGGAAGTCCTTCGCTGAAGTAATCATGGTCATGGTCATGTAGCATCGCTCATGGTAGAAGTTTTTGCCAGCCTCTCCCTAGCCCACCGGGCATGGATTTTGTGGCCGCTTGAGACCTATACCGCAGTCAGTGTGCACTGGTGTCCAGAAATGTGAGTCCGCAGACGACAGTTAACTTACCAGTGAAGATAACTGTGGGGAAAAACAATGGTAACGCCTTGAGTAAGTCCCAGGAATATGCGAGTATTCAGTGAGGTGAGGCCCTGCTACCCAGTTGCACAGAAGAAAGGCAAGGGTGAGTGAACAGAGAAGGAGAGGAACGGTCCCCACAGAAATTGACGCTTCACCTTCCATCATTGCATATGTAAATGAAAGACCACTGACATAGGTCGTTTCCAGTTGGGTAGGCCCTTCTGTAGGTGGGCGTACCTTCTGCTTATGAGGAACACAGTGCTCTCATTACTTACGTTATTGTCGAGCACACTGGGGTAACCTTGGAGGTTGTGAACCGAAATCTGCCTTCGTACCCTGTGCTTTGGATCAAAAAAATCCCCGGACCAACGGCTGTTCACGCATTTTCCAAAACTCTGTGAAAAACGAAGACTAGGTGGCTGAAGCCTATCCACTTTGGGAACTATGAGTACACTAGCCGGCTCAAGTCGTTTTCCAGGGTAATGCAAATGGTTTTCATGAAGATGGATTGAAGGGTCATCCCAGTGAGCAATTCACTACGCATGCGTACTAGAAGAGGAAGCAGAGACGTACCCAAAGAAAGATGAAGGTGAAGTATGGCCGCCCTGCTATTAAACTCGGGGATGAAAGCCTTGGTTGGCTCCCGGGCGAAGTATCGAGGCCTTTTATTATTTCACGGGCAGTGAATCGGTAGAGGACTCTAGGGTGGAATGAGAACACTGAATTCTACATCTGCTGGCCTCACCAGATATCACTTAGCACAAATCAAATTCAAAATGGCACTATGGTTCTAACTACAAGCCCAGAGAAATGTTCATTCAACCTCTAAGGGAGGGGGGAAGTTAGTTTCGACGCCTTTCTTCTGCCGTCCGCGCTCTCTCGCGCACTTCATCTAATTTCCATTCCCAGCCGACCGGTGTGGAGCGTTATTCCCAGTCACGGCGTCGCATAGCGGGTGTCGAGAGTCATTCCTCAGCTTCGGCATCTGAGCACGAACTGGCTTGGGAGATGAATCGACGTGTAGCGCTGCTGCCATGTTGATTGGGACAGGTGTTGGAGCAGATGCTGTGTATGTCAAACTACTTACAACGCCTATATCTGTTTGTTATGATAACTGCTGTTTTACGCCGCAGTTCGCGTTCCGAATGTTATCACAAGAATGCTGAGTTGTGGGCAAAAGTCGTGCCCCAGGCGGGAGTCGAACCCGCACCTCACGCTTTCCGGGCGAGTGCGATATCCACCAGGGCCGCTTTCATCATATCAAACGTCTGAATGCTGATAGACTACGGCATAAAAGCTGCTGAGCTGGAAGCGGCCCTGGTGGCGTAACGGATAGCGCACTCGCCCGGAAAGCGTGAGGTGCGGGTTCGACTCCCGCCTGGGTTCGAATTTTGCCCATAACTTGGCATTTTTATGATAACGCGTATACCGTCGCTATCGGGAAGTATCACACCATTCTCCGAATCGGCAACCGATGTCGCGACGGCTGCAATTCCCGAACGCTAGACAGGGAGTGTCTCTGAAGTATGTTGTGAGTAGAGGGAAACCACTTATCAGCCCAGACGAAGAAATGGTGGACAAGCACTCTTTGAATCGGAGATGGGAGGGTGTGGTTACTACATTAGAACGTAATGGCTGCGCTTTGTTGGGGATATTTTCGTCTTGGGACAATTGTAATCAAGTCCTTGCTTAGCATAAGCAGCACAACAGTGTGACAGTTGTCCTCAGTGGATTTCATAAAAAGTATCTACAGTCATATTCAAATGTAGTGTGTATGCAGCCACGCCCTGTCCATCCTTAAGACATGAATTGTAAGAGAGCGAATGGGACATGAAACGTCTCGCACCCCAAAAACACTAATCACATCTTGAACTAACAAACCTCACCGCGTTTACAGCTGATTACACGCACTCCCCCCCCCTGTTCCAGCTTCTAGGTATGGGTTGAGTGTTGACACTGTCGCTCTAGTGCACATGGCCAGGAAGGGATCATTGTTGGAAAAGAGCGACTTGGCAGCCCTCCCGTCTGCGCCCCTTCACACCCTGTCGCTTGCAGACGTCATGACTGTACCTAGATGTTTGCTCAGGAACTATTTCATGCTTCAATTGACAGAGAATCGTGAAACTACGGAAGTGAGGTAGGCAGCATGTGATGATTGATGTTATGCACGAAATGCGCCAAACATCGCATTATAATAAGCATCTTTTTCAGCAAAAAGGCTTCATACATTTGGGGGAGGGGGGGGGGGTTCAAGACCGAATTACTACAGATGAAACCGATTTAAAGACACATTCCGTGGCCCACGTTCACACGCGCTTCCGCCGTCGAACCTCATGGACCAACGAGACATCCTCACTTACTTCACGCAGTGCTGAAAAGTTGAGCATCATTTGAGACTGGGTACATCCTCTTACGTACCCCCAAATCATCTCTGCAAGCTCTGGGGCCGTGAGATAAGGGGATACCATGGAAGGAAACGACGTTGGGGGAGGGGGTCTCCGAATGGTTGACATGCTTCATTTGAGTGCTCTCCGACCCTCAATAAGAACCGTTCTGACGCGGTCTTTGATGAGATGGAAAAGATTTTTGCATGGGCTCTGAACCCGCTGAGATCTTTCCGCACTGGCTCTCGCGATCGATGAGATCGCTTATCGCAGGTTTCTGAACCCCGCTGAAATCCATTCCGAGCGAACTACGAGCGATGATGGAATCCCCATTGTAAAGGAACGGCAAAACGTAAGCCCACGGCCGGGATCGAACCGGCAATCTTCTGATTAGAAGTCAGACGCCTTATCCATTAGGCCACGCGGGCAATCGGTGGTAGTCGCTTCATTGTTAATAAATTTTAAATTTACGTGTTTTCTGAGCAAATCTGCACTGTGTGAAAGTTGGCACAGCACCTCATGGCGGCGCATATCACCTCCGACAACTGTGAGTGGTAGCAAAAAGTCTGACCATGGCCGGAATCGAGCTAACAAACTTCTCAAGGCCTCAAGTGCTATGGAGCCCGAAAAAAACTGAAATGAAAATCTTCATCCCATTTGCGAAGCACAACTGCACAATATTATTAGGTCGTTGCAAAAGAAATGCAGGATTTCGTTTTTTTG